ACGGTGACCGAGTCTACCATAGTCAGCTATTTTGATACAAGAACAAGAGGCTTCCGAAGCTTCTTGCGCCAAAATACTTGCCTAGGTAAAATTGGCAAGTCATATTCGTAAAAATTTACCTACGGCGAAAAATGCTACCGCATCCGCTTCCCAAACGCAGCCCTTTACCCGTTTGGTAGAATTTCTAGATAGAAATTCTATGATAGAGTTTCTAGATAACTTGTCACGGTGGAGTTTTCTGAGTGAATGTGCCGTGTAAGAAAATCTTAGCAAATCGCAAGTTAACTTACCTAGGTAGGTATTTTGCTCAATTCATTGTCTCTTCCGACATTTATCCTTGCTTTTTTTACAACATTTGCATAGTCACAGGATGTTAAACATGGATATTGCTGATAAGACAACATATATGTTTCACACGCCAAGTCTAAGCTCAAGCGCAAGATTACGTGCATCACAATGCAGCCTGAATATCAAGCATGAAGTTGCTTTCTCTCTGCAAATATAGCATCTAATAAGATATAATTAGACCAAACTACACTGATGGTAGTTAGCAACACTAACTCGGGCGGACAGGCAGACTAATTTTCCCCTTCTCCATATTTGTCTGAAAAGCCATCTGGACGACCCGACCCCAATGCAAATTACATCTCAACCTGCAGTGACCACAGATTCATTGGACCATCCGTTACCCTTTAATGGTCCTTCGCCGCTTATAATGCCACACATTCATTCATCCGTCGTGGATAATGGCAGCGTCACCACGGCAGCCCGGCGCACAGCACAAAAACACGTTCATTCAGACGCGCGCGGCGGCAGCCGGCGAGACCAATTACCTGCCTTCGAGAGACGCACGCAACGGGCCAGGTCAGAGGTCAGTCTGGTCACGTGACTTGGCGTCCGGCCAGCCGCGGGGGACGCCGCCGGGCGCGGCACGCGGACAGGCCGCGAGCCACGCCTCGGGCGGTGGGGAGGGAGGGGAGAGGGAGGACTGATGTTGTCTGGAAGTGGTGCAGATTTAAACTCGATCAGCTTAGCGTTATGCACAAGTTTGAGCCCGGAAGGCTGACAAATTTGCTATAGTTCAGACATGTCGGGCTTAAAAGTTTCAGTTGGGGCTGCATTTGCAAGTTGTCATTGTCAGTGGCCCCAAGGCATTCGCCTGACCTGACTACCACAAACTTTACGGGTTCTATTGCTTGATATACGTAACCGTGCTGGCAGTGGGATGTACTGAGTTACTTACTTGCTCGTTGTGCTTTCTTTTTTGAGCGCTGTGTTGAGAAACAACAGTCAGCAATCAAGTTTTTTTTTACTGCACGCATCATGATTATATATCCATTTGAATTGCATATTGCATATTAAAAGTTTGTTCCAACAGCTGTCGCACAATAACCACCCTGGAGCGGGCGGGGGGGGGGGGGGGGGTGGGGGGGAGATTGGGCGGTCAAAATGCTGACGTTTCTAAACCATGGCTTAAAATGTCTAATTTTAGTGCGAAAATCTGCTGTAGCATGAAATCGGCTCTAATAGCTATCGTTATTGTTCCCGATAGTCGGAGATAATAATAGCCTCTGGCATCACTGATGAGAATATTGCTTAGTCACTAAACTGGCAGCTACCTTGCTATTTGTCCGTGAGGCCCACACTCTACCCTCCTTCCTCCTTCCACATCCCTCCTCTCACGACCTCCTCTTCAGCTGGAAAACGCTTTTCGGCTCATGTCCGGTCGGAAAAAAAGAATACAACAGGGCTAGACAGTAGGTGCCCAGTAGTTTCCGTGACATTTTCCGAATCTGGGAAATGTGATAACGCGCAGCAGGATGTTCAAACTGGACTTTTGGTGCTTAGCAAACAAAGAAGGAAAAATTCGAAAATTGAATCCTTTCAGCTGAGCCCTTTTTTATAAATTTAGCTCGAGCAGTAGCGGTGGAACACCTTCAATTAAGGGGGGGGGGGGCACTGCCAACTTTTTGTCCCATTCTTTCCATGCAACGACCATAGCGCTAATGTTAAAATACCAAAATCAAAGGGGGCACGGTGCCCCGGTGCCCTCCCCGTTCCGCCGCCTATGAGCTAGAATGTTTTGAATGGATGGATTGACAGAGCCGGAGCTCACTGTAAACAGAGCTTGTTGCGTAGACCCCGACACCTACCGTCCGATCGCGCAATTCCGGGTAACGGGAGAATTTAGATGCCAAAGTTTAACGTGCACTTCAAAGCCGGACATGGTCTGTCCCACTCAACTGACTTCAACTGGCTGCGGCTGCACCCACTAACCGCAGACCATCCCCGTCAGGAGACTCAGATATCGAGCTCCGGAGCAACTCGCACCCGAGCTCTCACTACCGGGAGTCCATCGCTCTACCAACTGAGCTACGGGACAGGCCATTGCACCTGCTTCCAGGGCTATCACCAAGGTATTACCGCTGTCCCCGCCCCGCCCCGCCAACGCGCTTCGAAACCGCCAACACTGCTCTAAGTTCTTACCTTTGCTTTTACCGACGGGTGCGACCGACCGTCGCTACCGGCCGCCAGCCACCGCGGCCTAGCCTGTCCCGGGGGCGATAATAACTCGCCTGGGGGCATGGTTAGCGCCGCCACCGGCCGCCACAGCCGCCGGCAATTCTTTGTCTCCAGTTACCAGCTGATAAGGATCAGTACGAATCAAAGTCCGCCGGCCAGGGACGGACGCTACTGGGGTGGTCGGAGGGCACGAGCGCCGATCCGCTGGGGAATGTAATGTGAGAGGTGGGATTAGACTGGTCTTGCTGGGGTGATCGATGAGGGTCGGATGGTGGCAGAAAGTGGTTCCACATGGGATCGACATGCGTGGGAAGGGTTTCGTTTTAATTACCAGTTTTTGGAGTAGCTGTGGGTTTGCATTGCTGCCTCATGCCTCGCTAGCTCGACATTTGGTGTTGGTGTGCTCTATTACTCTAAAATGGCTGTATTTGTTACAGCTCTTTTATTGAATTTTGCCGCACATTTGCTAGATGCCTTAATGATATTAATCTTTCATAACTCCTAGTACAACTTCCGCAATAAAACATATTTCATTGCTAGAAGTACAACTGTTTTGCCACCGCTGTAGCCCAGGGACAACTGAGTGGCATCTGGGGCCGTATTCGCACGGGTCACATATCCAACACATATCCAATCACTCTGTAATATCACCACAAAAGCGGCGGTCCTTTGGTGGCGGCACCCTCTCAATAGGCTATTATTACATCTCTGTATGCAAAATTTGTCCGGCTCCATCACCGACCGCGCAGATCAAAGGTGCCGACAGGACCGATGACGCTGCCAGGACCGTGCCGGCTGTGATGGATTAGTGACCACCTCCCGGCCGCCACCGCCCGCCACCGCCTGCCGCAGCTGAGCGGTATCATGTGATCGGCCGGGGCGGCGCGGGGCGGACGCGGGGCGGCGCGGGGCCGGCGGGCGTCCGTTCAGAAGCTGACCACCCGCCCCGCGCCGCCCGCGCCGCCGCGCCGCCGCGCCGGACCCCCCGCGGAGAAGGGTCGAGCGGCGCGCGGCCGGACGGCGAGCGATCGCGGGAAGACGGTCTCAGACGCTGCCGCGATTTGTCATCATTATGTTCCGAAGACGCAGAGGCGATCGGATGACAACTCAGCGGAAACTCAACGGCAGCTCAATGGCGTTTCAACTGTATTTCAACGGTAGCTCGACGAAAACTCCATGGAAGCAAAACGGTAACACAGGCAACTCAATGCAATCCAACGGAAATCAACCATCCATCCACAACAACTCAAAAGTGACTCAAATGGCAACACTGTTAAACTGTTGCCGAAGTTATCCGGTGAACTCGGCGCTGACAACCTCTCGCAAATTGGCGTCAGCTCTGCCCCGCTACTCCGTCGCTGCTCGACGGTCCATCGTTTTGGACGTCTGTCGGGCGCCGGCCGGCTCTCGGCGGCACCTTTCATCCCGTGCCGACACGCAAGCGGGCGCCGCCGGTGATTAGGGACACCGGTTTATGAGTGCCGCAGACGGGCCAGTCATCTCAGAGACATTGCAGCGCGGGCCGCCGCCGCCGGCGCCGCCCTCAGCGAGAGCTGGCCAAGCTCGACCGGAAGGGCTGCGGGGAACGACCGGCTGATGAGGTCGAGCTGCTTCAGGGGTGCTTATACACAGTGTTTCAGGGGTGGGAGTTTGGACGGGAGAGAAAATGTCTCCGTGGACCACAGGCTGAGATGGAAAAGTCTGGGAGACGTAATACATTTATTTATTAATGTTCTTATATCTAACTTGCTTTTGTCGGCATATATTCAGAATAATACTGGGTTGGGTAGAAGGCATTCATCATTGAAACATTACTAAAAAGAAACTTTTATAGACCATCGTATGGGCACGAAATGTCCCCTAGACACACATTAATTCTATTTTTCCCAATGAAATCAATTTCAAGGCTGTAGGGCAATGCGACATGCTAGGTAGGTATTCGCGATTTGAGTTCCACTCCAGAGTTTCCGGATCTCTTTGCTCGGACCTGCCATCTCTTATGCAATACCCTTATTTCTTTGAATTAGTTTGGAATACAGGTATTCTCAACATGCGTATCATTTAGCAAAAGCGAAATAAATCCGTTAGTGACAGCTCACCATTTTCTCAATTTGGCAAATCAGTGACTCCTTTGTCCTCTCAAACGATGTACGTACGTATAACTAACATGATTTTCATGATAACATAACATGATAACATGAGGACTCACTGCCCAATGATTTTGGGCAGTGAGTCCTCTTTATACTCATAGCTCATGTCTTATGTATCACGTGTAGAAAAGCGACAATGGAGAACAGGATCCGTCTCATCCATCCATTTTGCTTGTGTTATTTGAAGAATCGGCACCATGAGGTTTTATTTGTGTGCATTTTTTTTTGCTTGTCTGTTTCTATCTTTCTTTTGTCGCGCCATTTGTGTTTTGTCATTATTCTTTCTCCATTTTTGTTAGCTATCCCAATCCAGTTCTCAAAGCTGAAGCTTTTCATAATTATGTATTGTCTTTGCACATGCGTATCACATTTGTAACAATGCTCGTCAATTGGGAAAACATGCTATGCAAGACAAGAAGGAAAGGGCATGCACCGAATAATGCCAAGACGAGTCACTGTGGACTAGTCTTGCCTCGCAAAGCGACATCAAAAGAATCATTAAGATTAAAAGATGATAAGTTAAAAGTGGATAAGTTACACACAATGAAGAAGACACTGGTTGATTATCATGATGGAACTATACATGTGAAATTATCTTAACGTACACAACTGATTGTATCCATTTCAATATCAATGCACTTGATGATTGTCTTTGGATAGCACCTGCTGGGGACATCTCAGCCACCTCAGCTCAAGAATCGGCGCTCTCGGGACATGAACCACAAACACTAACGCAGTCGCCGGATCGGCCTGACCACTAAGAATATATATACAGCACTAGCGGCACCCGGAAGGTGTCTCTCATCTCACAGCGCTCTCTGAGTTCGGCCTTTTCGCGACCCTCCTCCTCACCACGGCCTCCAGACAGCGTCGCCGGCCGCGCGACCATCGGCAGCGTGTGAGGTCAGGTCAAGCACGTCCGATTCTTCCGCCGAGCTGTCCGAGGACTCGCAGTCAACACTGCTCCACTGGGCGGCATCCGTGTCTCCGGCTCCTGCCGCCGCCGCCGCCCATCCATCCCGCGGACTGGCGTCACTCCTCGGCGACTCTGAGGCGAGGCTGTGAGGGCTGGGCGGCTGGTAGGTGGATCCAGATCCTCCACTTCCGACTGCGATCCCGGCTCCGAGCGACTGGAGATGATCGAGGCCCTGCTCGAGGCTGAGAACGAGTCTCGGCAGCGCTCCGGGCCCGTCGGCCATCCCGCTGAAGGAGCGCACCACCTGCAGGCAGCGCTGGTAGCCGGCGCGGTACGAGTCTGCAAGGCTTGGAGTCACCGGCGCGGTGCTGGCGGCCCCCAGACGCAGTCGAGCCTGCAGCTCGCGCACGTGGGCCACAGTCTGCTCCAGAATGTCGGCCTTCTCCAGTTTAGACGGCTTCGGGCCCTGAGGAACGAGGAGAGAGAACGTCAGAGAGGTGTTGACCGTTGCTACATGATTTACTATAGTTATTAGCCTGATTTATGACACTCAAGAGGTAACGGTCAACTGTAATTATTAGAGAGACTTGAAAGAAGTTCAGGTCAAGCAGGTCCCCCCAGATGGAAGAACAAGCGACGGAACACTGCAGCTACAACAAACTGTAAACAGCAAAAAAGCTGTGCTCACCTGTCTCTGCACGGCGTTCTCGTCGATCAGCATGTCCCTCAGGTTGGCCAGACAACTGTTGATGCGCTCGCGTCTCTTCTTTTCCATGATCGGCTTCCTGATCTTCCTCAGCTCGCTCATCGGCTTGGCCGGCTTCGGCTGTCTGCGCTCCATGGCTAAAAACTTCAGTTTGTGAGACACTCGATGATGATCCAACTCTCTGCACTAACGTCCTCCCTCCTTGACCTTCCGAGCTGAACTGAAATCGACGAGCGGCGGGCGGCGGACGGCGGGCGGAGGCGCGTGGGCAGTCGCACGCGCGGATCATCAATGAGGCCGCCGCTGCGGCCGCTGATTGGTCGCCAGTAGCGGTGGGGGCGGAGCCTATCGCGGAGCGTGCCCGCAGTGGCCCGTGGCGGGCGGCGGCGGGCGGCACGTGGGCGGTAGCCGCCCGAGACGGGCGACCCGCGACCCGACCCGCCACGCGCGCCACGACCGGAGACGGACGCGTGGGGAAAACCGAACAGCATGAGATAAGGCCGAACGCGGTGTTATTTTTACGACAGAACTGATTGCACTGGACAAAAATGTACCGGAATTCTCCGAAATTGATAAGAAACGTGGAAAACATTGACTACTAAAACTCACTTTACACTCACTTTACTCACTTTACACTGCACGGACCAGCACTTAGCCACTTGCTAGCCATCGCGGTAGGCGGTATACGACTTTTCGAATCACGACACAATCCGTTACACGAGGTTTTGGTTACAATGAATTCAGTCCTGAAAGCATTCTGAATAACAATCAAAACAATACAGGCGGAGCTTAGGGCTTCATTATAAACATCTTGGGCAAAAATCCCGAAATGACATCAATGAGCCAGCCTTTAATTTCACATCCTGTGAGCTGTGAAGTTATTTATTGGTCTTGCCATGTTTGTGTCACAAGGCCAACCAGAAGCAGTAAACAACCCGTGACAAGCCATCGCATATCCACAGAAAGGGGTGAGGAAGGGGGGTAAGTTCAAGCACAAGTAAAATACACGATGGACGTTCCTTCACATCTTGTCTGCATAAAATCACAATGCCCCAGAATGCTCGTCATCCTGGTATATAATTTAGCACCATGGGTATATTTGTATTTTAATGCCACTACACCTCATAACTTTTAACCCGCGAGTTGCTTGGGGGGGGGGGCGTTTAACGCCCCCACTTTTTTCGCCGGGCCATAGCATAAAAACGGCGCGCCGCAGGCGCGCCAAATTTTTGGCACCTGTAGGGAATTGATTGAAGTGTATTGTAACAAAGTTTCAAAAAAATCGCTCCGAAAATTTTTGAGATATCGAGGTTATAGGTACGTCATGATTTCTGAGTTTTCGACCAAAAACGGTATATTTTCAAAAAAAAATCATATAAAATCACAGAATAGACATACAGACATGCCGTAAACGCCATTAGACTGCCAATACCATGAACAATCAAATGGCTATCTTCGATTATTGCTTTTCGATCCGCATTTTCCAAAATCTTGAACTGAATCTTGGCAATTTCTCGTGACTACTTCACGACCATGATACATGCATTTCTTAAATTGAACTTTTTGAGCCAAACACGTACACATATGACAAAATGAATGTCACCATCGTGTTCTACGCCCCAAATTACCCATAAAACATGTGTCACAGGCTGCGAATATCAGTTTTGATTTTCGGGGATATGTGTCTACCCGGTTGACCTGACCTTGACCCTGACCTATGCTTGACTGACCCCTTCATGGAGATGACACTCTTGTAGGCCTTATAGGTATGATGGATTGTGCACCGTTTTGACAGAGTTTATGACGAGAGCCGCCCATTGCGAAGTCTTGAAGTCCATGCTACTGAAAGCCCGATTTCAGGTGTTTGACCTGACCTTGACCCGACCTGTGACCTCAAAATTCAACTTTAAAGTACTCATCTGAAGCGTCTCGTCGCGTTCTATCGTTTGCCGCCTCGTGCGTTTCGCTGCGCCTATTGGTTCTCGAGTTATCGGCTGGGGGCGTTTAACGCCCCCCCCCCCCCAGCAAACGGTGGGTGGCGAAATACCCCAGCAACTGCCGGGTTAACAATTGTAAAAAAATCACCCTGTATATTATATTTCCCAGAGACGGGAGACTGCAAGGTTTGCTGAATAAAGCGCTGATCCACCGGGTGATTATTTACAACTCTTCCTTAGAATATTAACAGACTCTCTTTAGATAGTCCCTGATAAATGATATGAATACCTATAAAGCGGCTGTGTAGGCCCCTCAGTCCTGAGCTGGATTCTTTAGAGTGTACACAGGGAGCATATAATTGCGTCTTTGCGAGTGCTGTTATTTTCATCTAAGGGCTATGCCAAGGACTGCAGAGTCTGAACAAGCGGTTATACTGCGACCAACATTCTGAAACCAGCCGGTCACATTGTGGCTCAAATAACATTCTGATGCTGCTCTTACTTTGGATTAAAGTTATGCTTTCTTCGGTCCAAGGCACTACAATCTACATATTTACCTTGAATCAGTCGCTATTCGTCGATCGGCAATGAATCTTTTCAAGACAAATTCTCCCACGATGACGAATCGATCGAGGGATATTAGTTATTACGAAGGGCATGGCATCGGACATTGAATGTGACATAAGGCTCTGACCCCGGGGATGTGTGAACTGTGAGCTTTGACAAAACGTGAGAAACTAGAGGCATGAGTTGATGCGTCACTGAATAACCTACACAACACTGTAGAAACTAGGAGCTATGAGTTGGTGATTTGATGCGCTGTTGGCTGGTGTGGACTGTCTCGATCAGGCTGGAAAGCCAGATTTTGATCACTTTAACCCAAACCTAATGAAGAATAAGTGTTCAAAAATACCAAGACGCAGTGGTGACCCGGCGCCATTCAAACGGTGAAAGTTGGACGTGGCACCAACGGGTGATAGGGGGCGGTCCATTGGCCGCCCAGGGGCGGTTAAAAATCGGAAAGGCGGCGGCGGCGGCGGCGGGCGGGACTCCCGGGCGGCAGCCGGGCGGGGTTCACTAATCCATCACAGGCAGCGCCAGCCGTCACCGCCTCATCAGTCCTGTCGGCACCTTTGATCTTGGTGTTGGAGACGGATACAATTTGACGGGATATACACATGTTTTGGTGACTTCTTTGGATGGATGGCGCCTAAAAATGTCTTATTAAAGAGGAATCGGATTCCCGAAAAGGGATAGCTGGTTTAACGAGAGAAGGCTGATGGATGGATCTCTCTAAATGTCATCACTCCCGAATTGCAGTTCTCACGAGAAGGTAGCCGGCTTGCTTTCATCTTGATGTCGCACTGTCTAATCAAAATTCCCTAGAGCTTACAACTCAGTGGAAAACTTAGGAAAATTAGACGAATTTTAGGTTCGCATACTGTAAATCGTTTATTACGGAGCGAGCGAAGCGAGCGTAGTCTTTCCTTAGATTAACGGAAATTTCTGAGTATGAGCGGCCGGCCGGCCGGCCGGCCGGCCGTGCGGACGCCTTTGCGAGGCTTATATCTCAGCAACCACTTGACCGATTTACACGCGGTAATTTTTGTAGGGTAGCTTCATTCCTTCTACCAAGTATTGGACTATTCCCGATGCATGTGGGTGACCCCTTATGCACGTGCCACGTGCAAAACGAAGAGGTGTCAGTTTTGTAATTGTTGCAATATCTCGGTAACTACTTGGCCGATTGCGCTGAAAGTTGGCATGTAGGTAGGCACCCACTAGGCACTGCATATCCATGTGCCAGAGTTGGGGTGCTGCTGCACGTGCGCACGTGCAGGGGTCGTTTCCAGATCTCGAGAACGGCTGGACCGATGGCGCTCAAATTTGGTACACGGTTAGGGACCAGTTAGTAGGGTGCCGTGCACAAGTCAGTTGGGACCCTTCCTGCAAGTGCGCACGTGCAGAATGCCGCTCCCAGATCTCGAGAACGGCTGGGCCGATTGTGCTCAAATTTGGCACATCGCTAGAAACCGGTCAGTAGGGTGCCGTGCACAAGTCAGTTGGAGGTACCCCCTCGAAATTTCGCACGTGCAAGACTCACCCCCTCGCTCGCTCCGTTAGTCGCCCCAAAAGGCGCTATACTGGTTGTATATTACTTTTATCATATGCTTTTACTCACACCTCATCTTCATGGCTTTCACTTTTCATTCAGATTTCAGGGACATTACTTTAGTTGGGATTCATAATGACGCATTTTGTAATAGCTCTGAGTTTAAGCGACATGCACGTTAACCATGAAAGGCCATCCCGGTATTGCATATCTTAGGCATAATTTATGAAAAGCCAATTATTCAATGATTTTTCTTTTCAAACACTTATTTCAAAGAATTTTTAACTTCACTAGCAACAGACATGCAAACCGAGAATGCGTGCTTTGGTGTAAAAGCACAAAAAGCAGATTCCTCTTCGTCCAGTCTCTACCACTACCTATTCACCTCATGAGCAATGAGTGCCAGAAATCCTTCAGAACCGGAATTTTAAAAGCAAACGATCGTCTTTTGTGCCGCCGCTGAAGATAGCCAGGGATGAGTAATATCATTGAAGGCTGAAATAAGTTAAGCATGTATTTTAGGCCGTTTCTGCACTACTTTATTTAAAAGTGTCTCTATATCATAGCAAGCAAATGTAAAAGATATTGCAATTTCTATCTCGTAAACGGCACTCATACCAGCATTTCTAGATGCATGCCGCTGTATGGGCCGCCAGCATCTATGAGCGCCATCGGCTAGTTTACCGGCTACACCACATCGTCTACCTGTAGCCTTATACAGAATATACTTATTACTTACTTCATACGTTCAGTACTTCTGCGTTGAACTTAACCGCCACCCGACCCGGTTGCATCGTGCACCGAGCGCGCAGACCATCAGGCAACACTTTGGTCCGGTCATTAGTTTTAATTCGTTCCAAACGATAACATCCCTCTCTAGGCCTCTGGCCTGTCATGATATCAAGAAGATCCAGACCGAACCCACACCAGCTCGGCATGCCTGAGTGTTGCTCCGGCGCGGAGGCTGTGAGCCCGATATCTGTCCCGCGATCCACGGCATAACGGCCACCACGGCACGGGTCGTCGTGCTCGCGTCTCTCTGCCACTGGGACGGGTTGATAGCCGTCCTGATCCCAAGCAGCTGGTGTCTCAGCGGGAGCCGACCCTAATCGCCCCTCCTTCCCCCGCCCGGCTACCGAGACAGAAGTGTAGGGTTTCCTAACGACACCGGCTGCCGCCGAACGCATCGCTGCCAACGGCTGAGAAAATGAGGAAACTGGTGGGCTGGATATCCCTTTCACTG